CGTCTGAATCGTCCACTACAAACGTGAATTTGGTTAAAAGCTGAGATTTTTAACTTGAATATATCAACAAATGAAACCCTGCTTCCGTTTGTTTTCTTCTCCTGTTGCCCTTCCATAACGACATACAAACTCGTATGTTGACTACTAATGGGACCAATAAAAAAACAAACAAAAAAACTCTGCTTGAAGAAACTAAATATAGTAATTAGCAAAATACAAATGTAACGTATATGTAACGATACGTTCCATTTTTGAAAATGTAACGGGAACGAGTTCCTTTTTCCCATATGGAACTTGTAACGGGAACGCGTTCCAAAAATCAGAAGGAACGAGGAACGAGCTTTCGTTCCTTTTTTTGAGGAACGCGTACAACACTGATTCTTCCCAACGAATGGCAAACTCTCTACATTACGGCTCTGGACAAAAGGTTAGGCGTGTCCCTTTTGCCGCGACGAGCTAAAGCTTCTAGAGCGCTTTTCAACTTTTCTCAGTTTCATTCAATCCTCTATTCCAATGTTTTCCGGCAAAATAATCTAGAAAAATACAGGGTACAGACTTTAAAGGCGGTCTATTGCTTCGTCTTTGTGGATTTTAAGGCGTCGACCGTGATGTGCGCCCATCAGAACAGCCAACTGGAACCACAGATGTCCCGTTTACGCCTCGCCGTTCCCAAGTCATGTATCGGTACGATGCATCATAGATTTTCCTCTAGATTATTATATAAACTTTATACCTTAGCAAGGCTTCAGTATCAGACGATATTCTCAATTAAGGCCCAGAGGCTCTAATTGTAAACATGAATCGGGGAAGAGATCAAGCTACACGGCGAGCAAGTCTTCCAAAATGCATCTTTGGCGCGTCCGAACGCAAGGAGGGGCGCTTGTGAATGACAGGGTTTTTTTTAACCCTAGAAATAAACACCGCATCGCCTAACACTCAGTCTTCGCCCAATTTTTTATCTCTTTTAATTGAGCCAACGGTTAGTTCTGAAAATTTGGCATCTGGTTCGAAGTGCTATGGATACATTTTGGCGGAGAAAAAAGCGTAAAGCTGCGCGTAATTTATTTTTGCAAAAAAAAAAAAAAAAGAGCCTTGTTTTTATTGGGGGGCACCCTGAAAACGGGCAGGGAACGCGCGATAGCGAGGCATATATTCGAGCGCCGTAATTGGTTGAGTTCGGGGGGGGGGGGGGGGGGAAGGCACGTAGGAGCATGTGGAGGGTAAATACATGCACGAGGAGGAGGAGGAGGAGGAGGAATAAACTTTATTATGTCTGTATATTGGTCTCTGGGTGGTTCCCTTAGTCCAGGGCCCCAACGCTGTCGGCTGTCAGCCTCGCCCGCCCTATCAACTTTAGTTGGTCAGCAGCAGACGAGCTCAGCAGTGCGGCTTCCCAGTTTTCAGGAGTGGGACCAGGGTGGGAGGGGGGATGTTACGGTGAGCGGTGCGAAACCACGCGGTGTGTGATAAGGAACCATATTGCCCGCAATGCGGACATTCGGCTTTGTAGCTTTTTAGGGTAGAATTTGTGCAAGAGCGCTAGGTTGCGGAACGCTCCTGTCTGGGGCTGGCGCCAAGCGACCACGTCCTCTCTGTTGAGATTTTTGTGTGGCGGGGGGTATTCACGCCTCTGGCCACGATGGTAGGCCCTGACTTCGGAGTACGTGTTTGGCACCGGAAAAAAGTATGCACCTAGCCCTAGTCGCAACACGGCGACAGGAGCGGCCCGGAGAGTGCATGCCCGGGCCTCGCTGTCAGCACACCGATTGCCTTTCACCTCGTCGTGTCCTGGGATCCATATGAGTTTCACTGTGGGGAAGTCCTGTCGGTCTCTCTGGGTGAAGACCTTGAGTGCCTTCGGCGAGACAGGGCCTGCTAGGAAGCGACGCAGTGCTGCTTGTGAGTCGCTTATGATGGTGACGTGATCTTCTCCGAGCCCATTGGCCATGGCGATGGCGAATTCCTCTGCAATCTTCATATTAGAGGTGCACAGCGACGCCGTGATTCGGGTGCTCCCAGTTCCGTCCACGACGCATATTGCCGCTGCATTCGTTTGATAGGCATATGTGGCCGCCTCTGTGTACAGGACATCAGCCAGTTTGCCATACGCCTTTTGGTAGAATCTTGCCCGAGCCTTGCGGTGTTCCGCGTGGAGCGTCGGGTCCATGTTGCGGGGGATCGCGTGCACCTTGATTTGGCTCGAGATGTGTCTTGGGAGGGGTGCCGTGGTGTCTTCTCTGTCCCATTGGAAGGGAATCTTGAGCGACTCTAGGACATTTCTGCCCGCAGGGGTTTGGGCGAGTCGGTCTCGTTGAGAGGCGAGGTGGCTGTCCACCGGCTCCCTAAAAGTGTTGTGGACGCCGAGCTTGAGTAGCTTCTCTGTGGAGGTGTACGGGGGAAGTCCGAGGGCCGTCTTGTACGCTTTGCGTATGAGGACATCTAGCTTGTCCTCGTCTCCCTTGGTGAGATTCAGATAGGGTGTGGCGTAGATGGTGCGCGAAACCACCAGGGCGTTAACCAATTTGATCGTGTCGTCTTCCCTGAGGCCGTGCCGCCGGCTGGCGACCCGGTGCATGATGCGTAGAATCTGGGTGACTTGGTTCTGGAGGAGTGTGAGGGTAGGGGTCGCCTTTCCGTCCTCCCGGAGGTGAAGCCCTAGGATTCTGGCACGCGGCACCACGGGGATTTGAGAGCCGTCGTCCAGGAAGACTTGTATCTCGTTTCTGGACTCCGAGTTGCGGCGGGACCTTGGGGTCTTGCAGCCTAGGATCAATTCGGATTTGGCTGCCGAGATATGCAGGTGACCCTGGCGTAGGTCCCGTTGACCTTCGTCGACTGCCGCCTGAAGCGCGTCCTGCTTCTCTCCGTCAGACCCGGACATGGTCCAGATTGTGAGATCGTCCGCGCACAGAGAGTGTTTAATGTGCGGGATGCGCTCCAGAATCGGGGGCAGCCCGCTTATTGCCAGGTTGAATAAGGTTGGCGAGAGCACCGCCCCCTGCGGCGTGCCCCTGTTGGGGGTGTTGATGACGTCCGTGCGGAGGTCACCTGCACCAATGGTGGCAGTCCTGTTCCGTAGAAAGTCCCGCAGGTAGCTGTACATTCTGGAACCGGAATTGGTGACTGTCAGGTTTCGGAGGATTAGCTGGTGGCCTACATTATCAAAAGCTCTATTGACGTCCAGGACGAGCACCGCTTGGGTCGTCGTCCTGGAGATGGGGCCGAGGATGTCCTCTTTTAGCTGTAGCATGACGTCCTGGGTTGACAAGTGCCCTCTAAAACCAAACATGGTGTGCGAAAACACGCCCGTTTCCTCCATGTGCGGCTGCAGCCGTTTGAGGACGACCCGTTCCATCAGCTTTCCCACGCAGAACGTGAGGGCGATCGGTCGCAGGTTGTCGAGGCAGAGCTCCTTCCCAGGTTTGGGGATGAGGATAATTTCCGAGTGTTTCCACTCCTTGGGGAGCTCGCCGTTCTACCATACCTGGTTGATATGTTTCAAGAGGGTCTGAACCGAACCCGCGTCTAGCTTACGAAGCAGCGTGTTTTGGACGCGGTCCTCGCCAGGTGCCGTATTACGGCCCAGGTCTTGGAACGCGCTCCATACCTCTTCAAAGCTGAAGGGGACGTTGAGTTGGGGGTTTGGCTCGTCTTCGTAGTCATGATACTCCTCGTCCGAAGACGAGCCGATGTACCGTAGTTTGAGCTGTTCGAGGAGGTCCTGGTTGGTGCCAGGGAAGTCACGCACAATTTTCTGGAGGTTCTGGCTGGTATCGCGCTTACTTTTGGTAGGGTCCAGGAGGTGTCGCAAGAACTGCCACGCGTTCTTGGTCCCCAGTTTTCCCTGGAGATCGGTGCACTTCTTGTTCCAGTTGGAAAGCGGCGGTTGGGTTGCGTACTCGAGTGCTTCCGCCGTGATTGCCGCGATCCGTTTCTTGAGCTTGCGGTTTAGCTTCTGGCGCTTCCAGCGCTTGATCAGATCGTGCCTTGCCTACCACAAGTGGAGCAGGTGCCTGTCCACCTCTGGGGTCTCTGTTGTCAGGTTGATAGTTCCCGTATAGGTGTCCTTGTCGCACATCACGCGCTCGGTCCAGCTGGCAAGGGAAGCATCCTCGTGCTCTCGCTCGCTGTGTGTGGCCGTGCGTGCTGCACGAAACCTGTCCCAGTCTGTCAGGGTTTGTTTCCGGAGGAACTTTTTTCCTGGCGAGACGGCGATGTCCACTTGGGCTATGGCGTGATCGCTTCCCAGGTTCACCTCGAGGTTTGACCATTCCGACCACCTTCCGCATCTCGTCAGCGCCAGGTCCGGGCACGTGTCGCGGGTAACACTGTTGCCCGTCCTCGTGGGCTGCTCCGGGTCGGTCAGGATAGAGAAGCGTTGTTGGCAGATTAAATGGTAAAGTCGGGTGCCCTTGGCCATAGAGAGAGTGTATCCCCAGGCCGAGTGCGGCGCGTTAAAGTCGTCTGCTATGAGGAGTTGGTTCCGTGCAAGTTTAAGCGCGCGCGCAAACAGTTTGCTAAAATCCTCGTGCCTGTTGCATGGCGGACTGTATACGTTGAGAATAAAGAACGAGGGCCAGTGGCGCTTCTCGGGAATGATTTTTATAAGCACGTGGTCTATGCTCTCGTCGCTGAGTTCGTGCATGAGGGCATTTACGTGGTTTGCTGCTAGGACTGCCACGCGCTGGCATATGCGTGGGATAACCACCTTGTAGCCCGAAAGTGAGGGTGTCTCGGTTCCAGTTTCCTGGGGTGCTATTATGTCGGGGGGTTTGTCAAGTCCGGCAATGTATTGCGCTAGGGCCCCACGTTTGTTGCGGTACTCCCGGCAGTTCCACTGCCAGACTCTAGTTATGGCCGCCCGGCGTTGCTCTGCCATAAGCGAGCTCTGCCATTTCTACTGAGGGTGTCTATTCGACTGGGCGTGTCGGGTATGGTAGCTCTTGCGGACACCACTGAGGTTCTGGTGGTAAAACCCTTAGTTTGAGTAGAAGATGACCCTAGCATCCCTCAAGAACAGGGAGTACTGCTTGGGTTATGGTGGTAAGTGTCTTTGCCCAGGTTGATTCGATGCTTTTAGGTACGCTGAGAGCGCTCTTGACTGCGGCCTTGACAAAAGACATCCATTGAGGTGAACTGTCTCCAAAGGAAGTTGTTGGTTGCGCATTTGTGTCCTTCGAATGGCAGGGTTGCGGCTGAGTGGTGGGTGCAGAAAAGGTCTGGGATTCCTGAAGTGCTGATGCAGCCGGCATATTGCTTTTTTGTTTGTCGTGTGGACTTGAACCCCGGCAATCTTCTTTAGTTGCTTGACTTTTAGGTTTTGTTTGCTGACGACCGTCGTCTATAGTGATGATGTAGTCAGATCTTTCGAAGTTTCTTCCATGTCTTTCTCTCCTGAATTCTCGAGTTCAGTGACAGTCGGATCTTTCGTGGCATTGCTGCCTGCTCGAGTAGATTCCATCTCCGGGAAGTGCTTATCGTACTCCAAGGCGTATTTGGCGATATGAAAGCCCACCGAGTTGGATTTTGAGTACACCTGGATCTCCCCTAGTTTCTTTCGCTTCGAGCAGAAGCGTGCTGTAGCTTCGTGTTCTTGGCCGCAGTTGACACATTTCGCAGGCATTGATTGACATGTTATGTATGTTGATGCATGTGGTTTGCCACAATGTTCACACTTTTTGGGGCGTTTGCAGGCCACTCGCTTGTGTCCGAATCCAAAACAGTTAAGGCACTGGATAGGCCTTTTTTGAAAAGGATGGACGGGATGGCGCACATGCCTCAAAAGAACATGTGTTGGCAAAATCTTGCCCCGGAAGGTGACTTTGACTGTGCTAGACTTCCTTAGGCGTCGGACGGCACCAACGTTAATATTGGACCTGAGATGCGAGGTGATCTCCTCATTAGAAAGCTCTTTTTCGACGTCCTGAATCATTCCGTTCACCGTTGCTCCAGCCAGTGGAGAGTATGACATCACCCGAATTCCACAGAGAGCATTCAAGTTGAGCAATGTTTTTGTAGCTTCACCATTTCTGGTGTCCACTGCGATGACATTCAATCTGCAGTTAAAGCGAACCTCGTGAATGCCGTCAGGACAGGAGCTTTCTAGAGCTCTTGAGAGTTTCACGCTACTGAGGGATGTTATTAACGTCTCAGTATCCGCAGGGGCGAACACAACAGTGAGCCCTTCTTCGATGGCTATTGATTGGATTATTGTCTCCGAGCTGGAGGTGCAGTTGTTGCGCCGAGTTCACTTTCGTGATCTGACTTCTTGATACGGACCTCCGGTATCGTCGTCTTGTTTCATACAGTTGATGTCTGTAGTCGACGATGCAGTGGAACCATCGGAACAAATAGAGTGCCCATCATGTGGTTGCGACGTTTCGGGTGCTTCGTTCCTTTGACGTTGCTCAGGAGTTATGCTCAGTGCTGTATTAGCCGCGCCAGGGACGCCCGCTTGGGCCGCTTCCATGTTCGTTCACATGGAACGATAGCAGTGGCAAAAGCTGCAGTTTTCTCTAAAAGAGATTTCGGCGGTCTGCTTGATTTCTTTGTCAGGCACACTGAGTTTAGAAATACTGCCCATTAATATTTGATCGAGATTTTCGCAATAGAAGGTAAAAAAATACGAAAAATTACCAGGTATGGAAGATTTGACGTCTTTGGTTATAGCACTTCGTCGTCGTCGCCCGCACGAGGTGCGCCAAAGAAGACAAACTTGCACGCCGTTTTAGGTGTAGAGCGTTCTTCATTCAGAACAGAAGAGATGGTGCAACCGACTTTCAGCTTAGGTGAAAACATTATGTTTAATCCACTTGTCGCCGGGCTCGGGACAACGAGTAGCATCGTCTTCTTTGTGGGTGGCGACGCTGGACGAATTGACTGCTACAGATACCCCCCCCCCCCCCCCCCCCCCCCCCCCCCGTCCGCCCTAGAGACGTGGCTTGTAGGCCTGCAGCAAGCCACGTTCATGTGTTCGGGTAATACGACGATGCCAATATAACACTTTTTTTGAGCCATATTTGTTACAAGGATGACTTTTCATCATTGCTTGAAGGCATGGAACGAGCACTATTCGTGCCAAACAGGCATGTTTGGTGTTCAAATATCGCAGTTTCCGGATGGTGGTATGCTGTTCGCTACGACAGTACGGAAGCTCTAAATACTAAGAAAAGAATAGTTAGCGTTTTACCCCAGTACAACACCTACCGCATGAACAGGCTGTAATTTTCGAAAGTATTACAACGAGGAAAAAGTGAGAAAGTAATGGTTAATCGAGTGAAAAAATAGGCAAGCCAAATTTGAGAACTTCTCGCGTGTTTAGTAAACGCTTCAATGAAAGCGACTTTGTGCGCTGTATCGGTTCCACTGCTTTCCTTCAGTGCGGGTTTCTATTAAACACAAGTTTATTTATTTTTGCATTTTGTTAACCAGTAAACAAATGTTTCCCCAAAACAACTGGCTGGAAGACGTAATGAATGGCTTCCGGAGTTGCTTTATTTAGTGCCTCCTTAATCGCCCGGTCGTCGAGAAACGTGCGAAAGCACCTCCGCGATCGATGCCTGATAAGTCGGTCACACATCGGCGTCCAAAATGTGAGTTGGACACCTGGTGGGGATTACGAACGTTTGCGTTGTTTTTTATGGACCCGAATATTTCTGGAAAATGCAAGGTTCGCTTCGTGTAAAAAGCAATCTGGCGATCTGGCGAATTGCTTTGCCACGAATTTGATGGGGGGGGGGGGGGGGGGGGGGAGGGAGGGGGAGGGGGGGGGCATGAAAAACACTACTTCAAAAGAACAACAAAAGCTTAAAACTTGGTCTGCAGGCTGCGGTGCGAGTGCTAGCCAGCAACTGTCGTATTCCACTTACACGCTAGCGTGGGGTTCGGCAAGCTTTCTTAGCTTAAAACCAGTGTACCGCGCCACGCAACAGAACAGCGCGCGAGTGTGTTCGTGCTAATAGACAGTTTTAGTGGACCGTACGCTATAGCTTTGCGTACGCAAGGAAATTGCGAGTCGTGAGTGCGCATGCGCAGAACGCAATAAAAGGGCTGGCGTATTGCGTACGCACGCAACGCTGGGGATTTTGCGAGGCGGGCTAGCGCGCTTTGCGGGACGCTCTCAAGAGATCTCGGACCCAACGAGAGCGCCAGTTTCAAGATGGCGATTACCCTTACTGGCGCAGCAAGGACGACGTAGTGTTTTCGAAGTTCCTGTGTTACGTGAAATTGCGTGGTGTTCAGCTCGGCAATTCTTTCTGGGACCTACCGCGATCGGATCAGATCGCCGTGCAGCTGAAGGAGTGCACAGCGAAAATGTTCGCCGCTCGGAATGTGCGTTAACGCTGCGATCTGCTCAATGCTAAGCCTATTCGCACAGTTCATCGCCGACGGACGAACTACTCTAAAAGAAATCGCCGAAGTTCTCACTATGCGCTGGACATCAGTAGGGCATGAATTTCATTCCGCGATAGCATTGATAAAAGGTGCCGTTTCCACGGGACGACTGACGGAGGCTCCGTGATCGAATTTGGCTACGCCCTCGTACTCGTAGCCTCTATATACCCGCAGAAAAGCGCGCTTGACGAGGCAGCTGCGGCTTGGCTTAATTTGAAATAAAATGATTGGACATGTTTTCATTTTCAATATTTCTTTCCAGGAGCATGGTTGTGCTATAAAACGCGGAATTCTACGACTCTAGCAAATTTAACCAAGATCATGCGCGGTGTTCACTCGAAAACGTAACGCACAGCTAAATTCGGTCCGAGCAGGTCATTTTTAGCGTACGCTATACTATTGCGTATTGCGTACGTAAGAGCCAGCAACGCTATACTAAAACTGTCTAATATGACGTCCTACACTTTCGCGACAGCAAAACAAAATATTCTATAAAATCCTTCAAAGATAAAAAAAAAAAAAAGAAACCTGAGGCGCCGAAAAAACCCGTGACGTACAAGGCTCAACCTGTCGTGTCAAGGCCCGTTCCCACACTTGCAACCGCGTAGGACCGAGAGATACAAGCTCGGTTTTCATGCCTCTTGCGACGACGTAGGAGGAGATGCGCTGTTGCGCAATAGGTCCTAAGCCGTCCCATGAGGCTTAAAAACTGGCCTCGTCTGAGCCAGTCCTACTCGGTTGCGAGTTTGTCAACGAACCTTCAAGCTCCAGGTTTCTTCTTTAACATTTTAAAGATTGTATCAAACAAAGCGAGACACTAGGCTGCATTAGAAAAGAAAACTTACAAATACTTCATACACCCCCCCCCCCCCCCCATTATAAGCATAAATAAATAAACCGTCTTCAATCGTCATAGAAGCTAGCGAGCATAACCAGTCCGTGCGTTTACTTAACGCGTTGTCTGTTGGAATCCTATTCGCTACGTCAGAGGAGTGCACCCGCCAGGTGGCGCCACCGGAAGATCTCGTCCCCAATAGTATGGACGTCTTAGCATCTACTTCCCCTTTTCTTTTTCATCTCCCTCCCCCCCCCCCCCCTTCCCCCCGCTCCTCACCCAACCCCAAAACAAAAAAAGAAAAACAAAAACTAACTACCGGCGCAACATTGCCGGCTTGGTGTATACACTCCGACGGTTCGTCAACCCGGCCGAACAAATCAGTCGATACATCCCCGCGGCTACCTTGCTGCTTTCTTTTCTTCTTTATTTCTCCCCTGAAGCTACCCGCCTTAGGAATCCCGACGGATACTCGCTTTACGCCCAACACTGAAAGCGGTGACTCGTTCTCGTGTTTTTTCTGTTGTTGTTGTGTTTCTGTTTTTGGCTCGCCGTCCTCGGGGTATACGTTAGGTGCCGGGACACGTCCATTGGACCGTTTCTATGACTCGTTTTGCTGGTAGCCCTGGGCGTGCAAACTACTAGTATCCCCTGTAGACTATCGAGTGGGTTTCCCTGTCATCCCGAGTTGTTTTGTTGTTTTGTCTTTTTTTCAAATGTCGCTTTTCCCTTTTTTATTTGGCGCAATTTACGAGCTAAAGGCAGCCGGTTCACGACAGTTAGAAGGCTTCAATATATATACTTGGCGATTCTTAAGCCGCTGTCCCACTGCCAATGCGTCACACAAAAGACAGTCTGCTGACGGTGTCTGATGCGTCTGTATTCCTGGTACGACATTCCTGCCCAATTGGCTTACAGAACTCTCTGCAGGAATGTCCGGACTATGTGCGAGTCAAACACTGCTTAGATCAAGCTTGGGACGTGTTCGCATGTAATGGACCTTTTTTTTTGTTTTTCCAGTAGTCCGTGAGCATGCGCAAACTTTCGCTCATATTGCGCCGCCGCCATTACTGAAGGGTAACCACGCTGTGGTAGGAGTAGGATGCTCAGTAACCAGGGTTAGTTTAAGTCGTGGTGTGATCATGTTCCTCGTGTTTCTTGTTTTTCTTTTTCAGTTTGTCGAGGCTGCGAGGCTGACTCGTTTCTGTCCACATCGTCCTTCATATCACGGCGGGTGATCCGGTGAAACATCGGCATACTGATATATTTTTTTGTTCGATGGCCTTCGAGAAACCCCAAGTAGTGATACCATGTGGTAAAAACTTTGTTTTTTGTGTGTGTTTGTTTTGCAGTTGGTTCTTTAAATCGAAGGAGGAAAAAGCGCGGTAATCGTTTGTTTTTGCGTCTCCAATCACTCAAGATACACGTCAATCAACGAGAGGAGATAGATCGCGGCTTTTTGTCCAGTCGATCCCGAGGTTCGACCGGGCAGCCGAAGAACAATGTTCAAATAGGCAACGCGCGTGGATAACTAAACGATAATCTCTTTAGCCTTTGAGATACACTTTGCAGAGAAGAAAGCGCGAGGAAACAGTTCGGGTGTGGTTTACCCTAGAAATATACTTCATCGACCATTGTTGTTGCTTTCAAAAGTTGTTATTTATTTTTTGGTGTCCATCGATACCTTTCTTCTTTTTTTTCTTTCAGAGTGTGGTGTCAACAGGTGCTTGAAGAAGTCGAAAAAAAAGTACCAACAATGTAAGGACTACTAAATAAATGCTTCGCTTATGACAAGACGATTTATTTATTTATTTTACCTCAGGGCCAAAGGTGTTACAAAAGGGAGTGGGTTTAAAAAAAAAAAAAAAAAACATAGAAAAAATACACAACAGCGAAACGGCAGAAGGACTATAGTTCTGTGAAGCAATACATGTTAGTTAAGGCCTTTCTAAAACTTTTAAAACTCTTAATGTAAAAGTTATGCATAGAATTAGAAAACTTGTTATAAAAATCGCGTTGCTTAGGCAGCAGGAGTTTAGTGTGCCAGAGCAGACTTGTACACGTTACTCAAAAATAGTAAGGAACCACATTGACAATTACTCAAGGCTAAATTGTAATTTATTACAATTACAATTACCCTCCATGAAAGTAACTGACCACTATCCCCCCAAAAATAATAATTTCATAGCAGACGAATCTTTCGTAAACTCTTCGACCTTCTTTGAAACTTTAACTATCTG